GATTTTATGAACCTGAAGCACTTACTGTAGTATAACGAGGAGTGACTCTTATTTTCAAAGAGATGTTCTCCTCGACCGAAGCTCTTCTCGCTGTGATTTTTGAACCACACGGCTGTGTTTAACCCTCAACGTTTGTCCTGGCACACCACATGTCCTCTGGGCCGTCTCTGCAGTCTCCAGACTTGTCTCATCTTCTCCCTCTTTTATTGTCTGTCATCTCTTTATTTTATTTTTTTTGTTTCTATTTTTGTTGTTTCTCTTTATGTGGGACAGTCAGTCCGTTTGGTTGAGAAGCTATTGTATTTTTTTTTTAAACTGGGGAAAAGAGGCTTGTGCCTTTGTAAAAACAGAATAATAAAGTTTGTACTTTGTTTTTTACAATTTCCCTGTGTATTGTGCGGTTATTTATTCGTCGTCTATATGAATTATACACTCACGTTAGTCATTAACATTATAAAAGGCTCTGTAAAAGCCTTTTTTTTTTTCTCTGAAGTTTTTGTTTTTTTGCCACTGCCACTTTAAGAAATATGATGTTATGGATTTAACTGCACTGAAGTGATGACGTCACTTTGTAGGACCACTCGGAAGCTAGCGTCGCATGGGTTCCCTCAGTCGTAAAGCAACACATTTTCCCCATAGACTTTTGGAAAATCGCAAGATCTCTGTGTTTAACAAAGAGTTGTGACCCTTACACGTTTTGTCTATAAAGATAATCTTTACAAGTTAATCCGAAATTTATACATTTTGAAGCCTATATAAAGATTTTTAAAAAACACAGACACAATAAAGTAAAAAAAAAAACACAAGCAGGTTATAACTGTGTGTTCTATGTCAGAGATCAAAACTTGAAAATATTTAGAGGCTCTGTTCACCACAGACCTTATTTCAGGCGATTTAGCAAAAATCCATTCAAAAATCCCATAGACTTTAGAGCGATGGAACCGTAGCTGCTAGTGCTAAAATGCTAACTCACTTCCGCGTTTCGGCCTACAGAGTGACGTCGTAACTTCGAACTGTATTGCCTTCTGTAGATATATTTTCATAACCGATGAATTTTAATACAGCCAAGGCCCGTTCACACCAATAACGATAAGGCCACAGATAAACAATATAGTTGGAATCACTTTCACAATGATATTTTTCCAGTTGATGAACAAAAACATTGACAAACGCTTCGTAAACAACATTATTGTGCGTTTAAGTGGATGATAACAGCTATTTTTCATATATATAAATAAATGAGTAACAAATCATTTCAACTTCAACATTCAAGGCTATATTTTTTAAATATTAGAGACGTGTTGCTGTGGCATTTGAGTGCCTCATAAATAGAAAGACGAGCTTATTTCAATCTGTCGGGTTATTCTGACAACTGAGTGTGACGGACGTGAGCAAAGATAACCCCTGAAGAATGTTCAATGATTCCCTCGAAGATGTTAACGTGTGTATTGTCACATCTAAAAACTATGGGTTTTTAAACTACAATTTGGTTTCGCTTGCATAGTTTTCACTCTTATTGTTATAGTTTTGGTTCTGTCAGTGTTAATGCACAAAATAGTATCTTTTTTATTTATTGCAGTCCAGTGTTATTGCTGTTTTAGTGGTAGGCTATGTTTGTTTATTGGGTGGGTTAGATTAGAATTTAAGTTTTGGTTTCACTTTATTTTGATTTTGAAGTAAAGCTGCACCTACATGTCTACTAGCTCTAATTAAAGTGTTAGAGTATTAGTAGACTGGTAGGGTTAAAATACATCAACATGTAGTTGCAAAGTTACTTATCAGTAGAAAGTCTGTTGGGGAGCATCCAGCATCACAATAAAGAGTAAGCAGATATTAAGCAGACAGTCTACTGAGGAGAGTTAGTTGACAATTGCAAAGTTACTTATAGTCAAAAGGGACCATCAAAATACAGTATTACCCAAGTTTGATAACCTATTGTGAATCTAAAACTAAATTTAAAGGGATGGTTCACTTTGAAATTAATTTTTGATATGTTTTCAAGAGCATCCAAGATGTAGGTGTCTTTATTTCCACAGTATTTTCAATTGTGATATTTTTAGGTCAAACCGTTCTTGTCTGTCAGTCATATAATGGAGGTCTATGGTCACCACCTCAAAGAGCATGCACAGAGAAGTCCAGATTAAACATGATTTAATGACATGAAACGAGCGCTTTGTGTGAGAAAACGAACAGTATTTATAGCGTTTTTACCTCTTGTAACCACAGCCACGTCCAAGTGATCTCAGGGCGCGGGTGCTTCGGTCTACGCAAGCGTTGGAATGCGCCGAAGAAAAAAATCAACTTTGTCTGTTGATATATTGAAATCGTCTTCCATTGTGATTTCCTGTTTATCTAAATATGTTTAGTTCTTCACAGTGAAGGGCAACACTTCTGAAATCTATGTGGAAACAATGAGTGACGTACACGCGTGCGAGATCACTTCCGGCACTTGCGCAGACCGAAGCGCCCACGCCCTCAGATCACTTGGACGTGACTGTGGTTACAAGACGTAAAAACTATATAAATACCGTTCGTTTTCTCACACAAACCGCTCGTTTCGTGTCTTAGGCCATCAATGTGTACTTACATGTACGAGTCATTAAATCATGTTTAATTTGGACTTCTCTGTGCATGCTCTTTAAGGTGGTGACCATAGACCTCCATTATATGACTGACAGACAAGAACGGTTTGACCTAAAAAATATCAAAATTGAAACTACTGCGGAAACAAAGACACCTACATCTTGGATGCCCTTAAGGTAAGCTAAAACATAGTTTGTTTTGGAGTCCTAAAATACTTTTTACTTTTACTTAGTAACTTCTTTCACCATGTTTCTGGTCTAAGTTCACAATGAGCATGTCTGGAGAAGCATAGGACATAGGAGTCATGTTTTAACGGTCATATTATTAAATTGCTCATTTACAACAGATTTGCATAATTGTTCTTAATCCCAGACTCTGCAACAGAAACAACCACCTGTTTGCTTCACTTTTGTCTTTTACAAATGAATGCTGCGTGTACATTTTACAGTGTATTCACAGGATTAAAGAAGAGAGAGCTCATGTGCCTGTGAAGTGCTCGAGTCGGTGTCTGCGGTGTAATGATAAGGCGTTAATCTCCGCTCTCCGAGGAAACGATGACGCCGACTTTTACACCTTATTCCCGACTGTCAACTCCTGCAATCCTAGCCAGCCAGTGACTTACAGCGCCGCCTCGAGCCTGTAATCGGGTTAGTGGAAGTTGGTTAAACAGGACAAAAGTTTAATTGTGATTCAAGACTTCTTTAGAAACGTGGAATGCCGTGGCACAAATAGTGTTGTCTTGTTATACCTCTTGTACATCATTCCTTTCCAGTTGCCAAAATCAACACCAGCTGATGTACCCGAGCGCAGGTTTTGACGTCACAGCTCTGCTAAAAGAGACAGTCAGCTGCTCTGGTGCGCCTTGTTCCCGACACCTCTGGTCCCGGCCCCCTCCATATAGTCCCGTCTGTGAGACCACCCTCTCGTTGGCGCCCTCTGACCTTCTCAGCCTGGTATATATAGCCAGACCAGCGACCAGAGGTCTCCTGGCAGCCAACATGAAGGTCTTAGTCTCGCTCTGCGTCTTTGTGCCCCTGCTGGCACTGGCCACAGCAGGTAAGAACATTAAACTGTTTGCAGTAGCTCAATAACATGGACCCGAGATTAAGTTCACTTGGAACATTTACGCTCAGAAAAACAGTGTCAGTGATTGAAAGTATTGCATTCGTGTCATTTCTAAATGGTTAACCAGTTGCTAATGATGAAACTATGGAGCATGTCACCCAATGCTGAGCTATTTAAACCTGTAGCGTTCAATAATAACTCTGGGCAAGGATGAGTTATTTTAAGACTCGGCGTGTATGATTTGCTGAACAAATTGTGTGATTCCAGTTTAAGTTCATAGAGTAGGACACAAGCATGGGGTTTATTCTCGTATGAGCTCATGCATTGTGTGTCAGCTGTTGTGAGGCATGGCACCAGCTGATGGAAAGAGCTAGAAGACTTCCGAATCGCTCTTGCGGTACTTTGACGTCGAGTCGGACAAGCGTAGAGTCTCAAACACTTGCTGTATTCCAACTCCGCTCATATTCATATGATGTCTGAAGTCTGAGGCGCTTGTTTCACAACTTTGGTTTTATTGACTTATCCTCTAACCGCTCCATCCAGAAGGTCTTGTCTGTTAACCCCGGCTCTAGCTCTGGATGTGTTTTCCGAGGTGCTCTGGCAGCCGTTTTACCCTTGTTCCGTCCTTGGGTCTCCTCTCAGGCCCGACGTGGGCCTTTTCGTGGGCCCAGGCTGCCGTCAGGTGTCTAAGATTGGAAGTTGTCCTGTAACCGGACACTGTCTACTATAGATTCCCCCATCGTCCTCTTCCTCTCTTCCCCTCCCCTTCCCTTCAGCGCTTGTCTTTGGATCCAGCGTGCAGCTGCTGTCACCCTGACACAATCGCAATTTATTTATTCCCAGCCACTGGCCATATAAGGACGTGCATTATCTCAGCAGGAGGAGCCGCGGCGATCCACGCCAGTCCCGCGCCGTTATTGTGCTAGTTGCCTCAAATGGACAAAAATGTGGCTGATTCGGTGATTATCCTAGCATTGGGGAATGGTAAATGTTATTGGTGAGAAAGAGTTTTGAATCTGATTATGAAATAAAGCTCAATTTAATAGCGTGGCAAATTTTTTCACTTTCGCTGGTGCAAATCGAAGTTTATCTGTGGGAAGGTTGAAACTTGAGTTTTGCATGAGAGCATTAAAGGAGTAGTTCACTTTAAAAAAAAACTTTTGCTGATAATTTACTCACCCTCATGTCATCCAAGATGTCCATGTCTTTCTTTCTTCAGTCGAAAAGAAATTAAGGTTTTTGATGAAAACATTCCAGGATTTTCTCCATATAATGGACTTCAATGGGAACCAAACGGTTCAAGGTCCAAAAGACAGTTTCAGTGCAAACTGCAAACTGTTCAAAGGGCTTTA